GGTAAGCAGTTAAGAATCTCATCCAAAATCCATAACCATATTCAACTAATTCATTTTCATCTTCTTAATTTTCTTCAATTACTGGTTTATTTTCTTCGCTTGAACTTGGTCTAGTCAAACCATCAGTGTCTACATCATCAACTGCTTTATATGGTTTCTTTTATTTTTCAGGATCTTCTTCAGTATCGATTTCTGGTTGAACTCCAATCAATTTCTTTTTACCAGACACAAAGCTAAATGGATCACCTTTTCCTGTAAAGTCATTGTTTGGTTTGAATGATCCTTCTCCAACATTGAAAGCTACTAATGCAACTTTACCATTGAATCCTGGGAATTATTTGTCTCTTCCTACATAGATGTAGAACTTAGGAACTTGGAAGTGTCTGATGTTTTCATACTCTTATTTTTCAGTTGATTACTTCCATTGAATTGTAGCAACTGCCTTCTTCTAAGGTCTTGAATATCCAAAATAAACAAAGAACCATTCAGTGTGTCTATTTTAGTGTGGGATATTCCTAATGACATTTGGGTTTCCACCACCTTCCAAATTAGAAAATGTATAGGTTGGTAAATGAATGATACCTCCATCTTATTTTCCTACCCAGGCAGACAATGTTCTATCTCCCAAAAATTTATCAGTTGATGGTTGTTGTACTTGAACTCTGAAAATGTTATGCCAATCCTATTGTTATTTTGGTGCTTCCCATTTGAACCAACCACTGAAAGCATATTCATGTGGGAATTTTGGGTTCTTTGTTGTTCCAACAATAGAAAGAATTTCTTTGGTATCTGGATCTCTTTATTAAGGATTTGAGACCACTTTATAAGTAATTAATTCAGGTAAGAAATCCTTAGGTTGTTTCTTTTACGCTTACAATTTACCAATAACATCGTCTTCAGAATCAAGGAAAACACCTGGTTTAGTACTGAAATAGATTTATTAGATCAAACCATTGAAACCAGGATATCTATTTTGATCTTTACCTCCAATAGTGAATCTAACCCATTTAGTTTATGGGTTCAATACTTCATGAGTAACCTTTTTGAGATCATCATTTCCAAATTTGATAAAAGCAACAGCCTTCTTTTTTTCAACACTGTATGAATAGTAAATATAAGTCCAAACACCATCAAAATCTTCAGGATAATTAACATTTTGAGCAACATTTGGTTGATTCTTTGGTTAATCACAAGTTGTGAAATGATAATATCCTTTACCCAACCAAACAGCCAACAATCTATCTCCCATATTGATATTATCATCTTTCTTATTTGCACTCAATCTGGAGACAAAATACCAAGGAGCATCCTTTCCATTAGGTAAGAATTTAGGATAAGCCAATAAAAATTTAGCCCAATATCCATAACCATATTCAGTCAATGGTTCTTGGCTTTCTCTTTCCTTCTATACCACAGGATCTGGATTGGTAAAGTCAGCTGGTTTCTTTTTATTTGTGGAATCCTCATCATCCTCTTCATCTGTTGTACTACTTGGTTCAGAAACACTTTATTCCTATTAATCATCTCCTTCTGGAACCCTATCAGCTGGAACTGGTCGGACTGGTTATGTTGGTTAGATAGGTTAGACAGGTTTTTTAGTTTCGTCCTTTCCTTATTATTAACCATCAGGTTTTCCTGTGATTACTACTTGTTTATCATCTTCTTTTGGTTTAATTCTGATAGTAGTTCCTTAACCATCAGAACATTCTTTTGTAACTTCTCTCACTTCATCAGCTTTTGAATTAATAATATTGATTGTAATCTAATTTTATTTAAATTAATCTTACCTGTGGTCCCCTTTAACATTGCTTCCTCACTTATTCTCTCTCTTGCATCAATCTATTAATTAATTATTCTATTCTATCGCAGCAAAATTGTAATTCTTTATCATTCTCAGCAGTATCTAATAAACTTACTACTCCTTGTAATTCCATAGCACTATCCTTTCTCCATCTTTGATAAGGCGTTATTTATAAATGGTGTGCACTTATTTAACTCAAAATATCTGAAAATGAATTTCTGAATTGCAACAATACTATAAATTTAAAATTAATTTATTACCTGGTTCTACATCATCGTAACCGTCTCCTCGAAAATCTTGCAAAGCCACCTTTAATTATTAAAGATTATGCTAATCTGCATTGAGTTAGTCTTGATTTTCTAAGATTTCTGACCATGTATCCATTGAATTGCTTACTTCTCCCAATGTTGGACTACATTCTAGTGAATTAGTCTCCAATTGATGCAATTCACTTAAACTATGCAATTTTAAATTGCTACCCAATTAAATGAATTATTAAGCTAAATTATCGATTAACTGATACCTCCTAACGTGCAAGCTAGTAATAACACTATAAGCAGCGTTTTATTATTCATGAAATAAAAATAATAATGAATATTGTAATCTCATAATCCTTAAAATAACTAGAAAATTCGTTTTTTCCTCTCATCATTAGGATTATAATTTATAAACATTTATAATTTTCTGTTAAAATAATGAATAGTCATTCCCTTTTCATTGCTATATAATCCCGTTTGAATTTTTAAGTTTTAATATTTCAATCAGTAATCCGATCTTGTTCAAATTTCAATGAGATCATAGTTTTCACTCAAAATAGCGTTGGAATTTCATATTTTTAGGATTTTTTTTCAGCCTAGTAAATTAATGAAATGATCTTATTTCAACAAATGAAAATAGCCTCCTTAGAACTCTTGTTTTTTAAATCTCTCTAACTTCGATCATAACAAAGTCATGCAAGAACTCAATATTTTTTGCTATACTTAAATAATATTTAATATTTAAAAACTATTGTTTCAAAAACAATCACTTTCCCAAAATTAATTAAGTGATATAAAATAACTCTGACTTTTTTGTCTTCTTGATCAAAATAGAATGCAAGTACCCTTATTTCTTTAAGTGGACAAAGAGATGAGGCAAAAATAATTTCTGTTTGTTCATTTAATTCTTTGAATCAAAAAATTTAATTGATCACTTTAATAACAGGTTTATTTATTTTTAGCATAATAATTTCTTTTGCTATGATACGCTTTTGTGTACTGCACATAACAGTGAAAATGGATGGATAAAATTAAACTGTATTTTTATTGGGACTCTTACAAATCGATAATTTTTAAGAAAGAGCTCTAAATTCTAAAGATTTTAATTATGATATTTGTTTATGTTTATATTATAAATCTCAAAGAGATTCTGCTGTTGAATCCTAAATTTTTGAAGTCATTTCAAGATAGGCAGCATTCAATTTACTAGCCAAATCACTTCCTGTTTCAGATTCAAGAATATTTCCATTGATATCGGTTGCCGTGTAGGAAATAACACCAGCGTTGTTTGAAAGATCGAGTACTTCTCCAACAACTCCTGGAACATATTCAGCATGAGTTTCTGTGAATGATGTGTGCTTTTTGGTTTAAGTTTCTACGTCTGTTGTAATTTGTGCCCAATGTTCTAACAAGAATAGAGAATAAAGTAATTACATGATTCTTTTGCACTCAAATGGTAATCTTTATCTCCCAAATTTTCAAATTCAAAGAATGCACTATTAAAGGTCCTTGCTTATTTATTATGGACTGCTTTGTGACTTTTTCTTACATGTCCTGCAGTTACTGATAATAATAAGACACAGATGAGAATTGCCTTAATCATAATTTATATTATTATTAAAAATCGTTTTTGCTTCTTTTTGGTTTTAAAATTATTATTCAATAAATCTATCATTCATTTTCCATTGCCTTCCAAACTAATACCAATATCCAAGTTATCAACAGGAAGATAAACATTGGCCAAAATACAATGCAGCTATAATTGAGTAGCCATATGATGGTCAATACAATTAAACCCCATTTGCATGTCTAAAAATTGATAAGGTTGTTGAGATCATGGAATCTTAAAGATAAATGAAAGCAACTAGTATTTTTGCAAGGTATTAAAATGCAAAAGCCATCAATGCATCTGCAAAAAGCAGAGAATGAAAACACAATCAAAAGTATTGATATAATTAATCCAATGAAATCACAACCATCAGGTGTTTCATCTATTTTTTTTTAGAAGAGTTGTCTAAACACAAATCCTAATAAGATAAATAACCAATATGCAAAACAGCATTCAAAGCAATCAGGTTGTTTTCTAGATTCTTTTACTCGTTTTTACAAATCTTATAAATATTATTTTCTCTATTCCTCATCGTTATTATTTGCTCTTACTTAAATTAAATATTTACGTATCGTCTATTTATTGGGTCTGTTTCTCCTCTTCTCGATTATTCATAAAATTAAATATTGCAAAATTGCAATGTAAAAATATTATATTTATCTATATAATGTTTAACTATATTCAAAAATTTTTGGCATATTTATCAACCTACATAAAAAGTTCATTATTATATACTTTACAATTTTCCTTAGTCTTTCAACTCCCAATTTATTTTCCCCTGAGATATTATCTATGAGTAAAATCACAAATTATGTTACCTGATTTATAAGGCGGTGAAATTCTAATCGAAATAGATGGTATGATGATCTCCTAATCTTTCCAATCAACATCTCTATATAATTTTTATAGATGATCAAATAATTGCTGATGAGGTTCCTTCATCTCCTTTTTTATCATCTCTTATGCCATAGCTGCCAAATCGATTGCCAATAAATTTGATAACGTTTACTACGCTTATTGGAACGTATACTTTAGGATCTTGAATATCAATAGTTTGCAAATCTTATATCGATTGTTGATTGATTAAAAAGAAGTCCTCTTCATTTTCTATTATATTCCTATTTCAGTCATACTTAAAATAATGATTGATTCATCACAATAATATATTAGTCCTTGAAATACATCTCCATAATTGGTTGTGACTTTAACTTGCATACCAAATAATTATAGTTTTTAAGTGTCTGTAGTCAATAGTGTCCATTACTATTTCGACATAAATTAATAATTTATTTAATATTATATATTTTGAGCACAATATTAGAAGAATCTATACTCAAAGACAGTGAATCAAATTGACCTTTAAAAAATTGCCAGGCATTTCAAGTTGGCCATTCAAAATTCTACAAGAAGGCTTATAATTATAAAATTCCCACTTCTCCACCATTTCTATTTTAACAGCTGATAAAACACTAAAGCAAAATTGTATAATTATCACAAGGATTACCAAACAGATTGCTATAAATATTGAGATTGTTGACAAAGAATTGATTCCAAATCTTTGGACGATTGAAATTTATGCATAAATGCATAATGCCATAATGATTACCTGAATGATCCAGCAAAGTTTTGTTGACAATTTGATATTTCTGATTTGAAACATATCAAATCGATTAACAAAATTTACTCTATATTCTAATTTATATTTACAAATTTCGCAGTATAACTAAAAATATATTTATAAAACTACTACTTCTCGATTAAATATCTTATTCACACCGAATTATTATAAAACCCACATTTTTAAGCATTCTTCATGGACAAACTCTGTTGAACCTTTACATTTACATGGTGAAATGAATTGTGAAGATTAATCATCTTATATGCATATTCTGCAAATTTTATCTAATTAATTAAATCCATACTTTTTTCGTATGGAAATTGTCCATTTAACTCATTTGTATATATTCTACAACCAACTATTTTCTTCCTTATCAAATCCTCTAGACTAATCCAATATTTTACTTTTGAATAAATAGTCTTTAATTTTTTTTTTCTGAATTTCTAACTTTGAACATTTTCATTAATTCCCTACTCAGAAGTATTTAAAAAGATGAAATTATTATTCTAAGAAGTTGCATCGTTCCTATCATCAGCCATTAATCAAAAATTCAAAAGTATTGTGCAATTAAATAATATAAATAATTCATTATTCAGAGATATTTGTACTTGTCATGAGTTAGTTGACTTAGATAACTTATAAGTTATTTAGTCCATTTGGATGAACCGATGCTGTCTTTTTCCGAACTATAGGACTACCGGTTACACTTTATCCCATTTAAGATTATAATTAAAAAAAGCTACCCTATTTCGTATCTCTTCTTGGTCGATAATTACTTATTGCCCAATTCTCAATCATTTCTACTTAATGAAAAGCAATAAAACTTGCAGCAAGATATACTATTAAAATTAAACATAGCACTATCAACAAAGTCATGACAGCATCTACTCCTATGTTAGATAACCCAAATTTTGTAAATAATACTATATAGTATAAATTTTGTACCAGCAATAGAACTAATTATAGCAAAAATAAAGAAAAGTTAAATAAGCCAACATATCTTTTAGTGTTTTGGTACTTCCCAAAATCGAGATTTCTCAAAGTGATTGTGTAATTGCATACGCATACGAAATTTTTGTGAACATAATTCACATTTAATCTAATTCGTTATTTTTAATACGTACTCTGTCTTTAAATACATCTTCTATGCCATTTTTCTAAAGGATCCAAAGTTTTAAACACTCTTCATGTATATATTACAGACTTCCTTTACATGCGCAAGGCATAATAAATCTTGAGGTTTCTTCCTCATTCATGCATATCCTGCAAGTCACTTTAGTTATTGTAATAAAATTTACTTCCTCTTTTAGATAATTATAATTACTATTCATTCATTTCGTTCACATATATATTACAGCCAATCAACTTTCTTCTTTTCACATCCTACATCTATATATCATAATACCTAATAATAAAAAGTCTTCAAAATTCCTTTCTTAATTATTTCCTTTCTAGGAGAAATTTAGTCATCAGGTTGGTTGTCAAGATTAAGATCTGGTATGAATTGCATAGAGGAATTCATAGGATTAAAGTTTCTATTTGGAGATTAATTAGTTAATCTTATTTCACTCATATTGGGGTTGAATGACATAAGAGATTTAATATTTTTATTATAATTTCAACAATTATTCCAATATTAATTATAACTCTACGATTGTAATAGCCCTAGAGCTGCGCAGAACAAACAAAGAATGAGCTAAATCATTTTTATATTTATTTTTAAATTATTTGTTAACAACTAATAAAATATATTAATCTCATTATTAACATAAGAATATTATTACTCGAAACATACTCTTAAAAAAATATATAGACTCATGCCACAGATTTATAATTTCTGTTAAAAATCTTTAGTATAAGTAATATTATCATTAAATAGATTATAAATTTCAACACTTATTGAATTCAATTTTTTATTCTCATACAACACCATATAATAACATTGTACAATTATTTTAACTTTTCATTCGAGAGCAAACATATATTAATTTTATTTTCTAATCCTCATATTATAAGCTTAATCTCTCTTATTATGAATTGATTTGACAGAATTATTGATAGTGAAATGTTAAAAAGTCTTTACCAAAATAAAATTATTGATTTTCCAATAAAAATCAGTTTTTTATATTATAAAAATAATCATTCAATATAATTATAAATTAATTCTCTTACTTAACTCTTCTTTAATTTGTTGATATTCTAAACAGGAACATAAGATTTCATTTCATTCATAAAAAAATTCTTATACTTTGAATTTCTTACCTATGACCATCAATAATTTAGAATTTGCCGATAAGAATATATTTAGTTTATCCTATAATTTTTTATTATTAATTTATACTATCCGATCTTGAATTGATTTTATAATTAATAAAATTTTTAGGAATTTTTGGATATGATAATAAAAGTATTATTAGAGGACCTACTTATAAATTTAAATTACTGTCTAACAAGTTAATAATAGGATATTCTTTATTATCTAAATATATATTGCTTAATTCAAAAATATCAAGACTTTTATAATCCTAGAAAAAATATCCAGTAAAACAAAAATGAAAAATACTCAATTATTTGAGAAGCATTTATAAATTTTGGATTCCAATGTATTATGAAATTCATACTAGGTATAGTTTTGGTGTGATGGAATTTGATAAAATTGAGAATTATTATTCCTTAATATATTTCAGAAACATAATTATTTATAAAGTTTATTAAACTAATTATAATTTATTATAGTTTATCCAAGAAGAATTAGGAGCGAATTCAAAAATATTACCTCAAAACTTAGCAAAATTTGATAAATATTACTTATAAAGTTACAATTATTTTCACAGATATCCTAATCAGGATTTGAGATAAAATTAGACATAATTTCTCTGGTTCTTGATTATAAATCATACCAATTGCATTTTTGAACAATATTTCAATGAAGCCTTGAAATAAATAGAGGGAAATTTATCATAAAAATTTGAAAAAGAGATTAACAGAGATTTGGCAGACTTAAAAAATTACTAATTATTAAAAATCAGTCAGATAGGATAATAATAAGAGTTTAAATAATGGTATACTTAAGCGATAATGGAGAAAAAGAATGCAATTTTTGATTTAAATGTAAAAATATTTAATTGAATCAATTTTTTAGATATTTCCTTATTCAGATGTGTTAGGTTTATCAGTATAAGTGTAATAAAAATACTAAGTATTTAATTTAGTAAATAAAATATTAATTAATTGCTTTCAATTTAATTTTCTTTATGCATCTAACTTTAGAAACAGAATTAGGAGTTAATAACTTCATCATAAATGATTTTCCAAAAGATGAATATGTCGATTTCCTGAGTCAAAAGTCTTTATCAGAGCATGGCTTTCCAGTGCCCGAATTAAAAAGACAATATGAGGATGCAATGCCTCCACCTAATTCTAAAGACAAACAAATTAGTTTTAATATGAGTCCAATAATGTCACCAAGTTTTGAAGGCTGCAAAACCAACGAAATATTGATTGCTAAAGCTAATCCAAATGGAGGTACTCAAACATCGTTTTAAACTAATTTTTCAAAATTAAGAAATTCATAATCAACAGTGGGGGAAGACATGATGAGATATCTATAGATAAGAAGATTCTTTAATAGGTTTATGCGTTCCATGCATCTTTTTAGTAGATTGCAGAAGCATCATTTAGATATTCTAAACGACTCCGCTTCTAGTTATGATCCAAAAATATTTGGTCAGAGATAATTTAATTTCAGACCTTTGGGTATGATTAAAAATATGAATCTGCCAAAGGTGCCCTCAATTAGTTAGAATGTTGAAAAAATGATAAATAGAATAGGTTAAACAATTAAATAAAAAATTGAATATTGGGATTAAAATATCAGAATATTTCAGCCTGAAGAGAGGAAAAAGATTTTATGGGACAGTTGTCTGTCATTCTCTCGAATATATTTCATCATCTTGATTCCTATGGATATATCTTTTGAGTAAGAATTTTTATACTCGAATCAATTGTTCATCCTAACAGTCATTATGACAGTACTGTTGATGCTGGATATTCTTCTCAATTTGAACACTGCTTATTATTAATTCGGACTTATTGTTAATGAAAGATCTAAAATCTTTAATCATGTCATAAGTAAGGCATATGGTTGTGACGCCATATCGGTCATATACTTATTTGTGTTAATGTTTTTAGATTGGGATGAATATCGAAATGAAAAGCAATATATTTTAGTTGGTTTATTAACATTTGTTGGTTAGTACTAAAACATTACGAAACTAATAAGATTGAGTGAGGAAGTATTAAATTTGACAAAGGTTACTGCTTCAATTTTAGAGTTAGTAAAATTGATTATATTTTTAATTTTCATTTTACATGTTGCAACTTGCATTTGGTATGGAGTATGATATTATATATATAATTAGGTAGGCAATTACGGTCTATAATATCTAGGATCAAGTTGGATAGACAAATATCATTTAGAAGATAATAATTGGGCCGAAAGATATTTAAGATCCTTTTACTTTTGCACTGTTACTATGTTTACTGTTGGATATGGTGATTTAACTCCTTAATGTAATAATTCATCTAATTTTAGCCAATCTAGAATATATTATTTGCATTATCTTTATAATGATATTTAGTATTCAGTTGCCTTATAGTGTTAATACTGTGGGAGCCATTATTGATGAGATCTCTAAATATAGTGAGTAGAAACTCTAGAAATTACGAATTATTAACACTTATATGACTAAAAAGAAAATCAGTTTTTAATTACAATTTTAAATCAGAGAATACTTAAATTATTATTGGGAAATGGAAAATACTCAATAATCAAATGAAGAATAAGCAATTATTGATTAATTGTCGGAATAATTAAGAGAAGAATTAATGGTTGAAGCCAATTCAGTTGTTCTCAATAACTGCTCCCTTTTTAAGAAAAACTTTTCTCATGAATTCAAAAAGGCTCTAGTGAAAAAGATTAGAACTGTTTCCATCCAACCAGAAAATATAATCGATTATTCCTTAGAACCTGATTCCTATTAGAATAATTATCTTACATTTATCGAATCAGGTGAAGTTGAAGTCCAGTTGTCTGATCAAATATTTTCTCCTGGTACAACATTCCATAAATTAACTCCTGGATGTATCTTTGGATTATATGAATTTATTACTGGGTAAGAGTAAAAAGAAGTTTATAAGAGCGTTGGCTTCACTAAATTACTAATATTACCTAGGTTAGCGTTCTTAAAGATCCTGAAAGATTTTCAAGAAGATAGAGAAAAGTTTTGTTAAATTAGAGACAATCTATTATATAATTTCTCCAAGCTTTCCCTAAAAAATTTAGATATATCATGTTATGTTTGTTAGTCAAGAGAGCATCATTCGAAAGATTGCCCCTTACTTCACTTTTGTCCAGATAAAGAGAGAATTATTAAATCTTATAACTTTGTTAAGGAATAAGTTCGAGAATGGACAGTTCGAAAACATGCCAATAAAAATGAAAATCATTTCATATATAATAATGCTTTGTTGGATTGCAAATTGCTGAAAGAAACAGCTGAATACATCTAGGATGATTTCTGGCAAGAAACTCAACTCTATGATTTAGATATCGAAAATAATGCAACTAGCCCAAATTTCAATAGTGGTGCTTAAGGATCTCCTTAACATTCATCTAGCTCTGATGAAGAAAAGGATGAGATTGTTTAAGATTTATAGAGACCATCACTGCTATCCTCTTCAAAGGTTCCTCGATAAACAAGAACAACCAGATTATTAGAAATGAATCAAATGAAAAAACTGTAAGCAAGAAAATCTAGTATTTCTCCTATGATTCCCAGAAAATCTTCTTCGTAGTTGATTGAGCAACAATAATAACCTAAGTTATCCATTACTAGTTTGTCTAATTCACCTAATACAAAAACATTAAATTCTAACGAAAAGGCATAATCTTAAGATTCAGAAATTAATAAGGAAACTGCACTTTAAGTAACAAATTAGCAAACTGATCCTTTAAAATCAGCAATTAGTCCTATGAAATAGAACTTTATGAAATCAGCATTAAAAAAATTAAATGACAATAATAATAGCAATAACAATAACAATAATACTATTGATAATCATGAATAAGAGGAGAAAGCTAAAAAGGTTAAAGTGAAATTTTAATAAGCTTTTTCTTTTATAAAAAGACTAAAATAATTAAAAGTTTCCAAAGAAATTGATAAACCACGAATACAACCAAAGTTTCAGACCATGGTAGTTCAAAAATAGAATCTTAACTTAATTTAATAAAGAATATAAAGAAAAAGCAATGCCTTAACTTTGAAGGATTAAATTAAATTAGATTTATTAGTTTTAGAACTTAATAATAAATTAAACAATAATTTTTAAGAAGTAGAAAATTTCGAAAACAAGAAAGATTTTAAATTCTATTAACCTCATAATAATTTAGCAAATTTATAAATATCAACTAAGTATCATCCTAAATTTTTAAGCAATATGACTCTTTATATTAAATATTTTCTCTATCCAGCTGAATTTATCAAGAAATATAAGAATAAAGATCCAACAATATTGGAAGTTAAACCTGTGTCTTTTGCTACTTAAATGAATGCCTATAAAGATATATTGAAATTTAGGAAATAAGCCAGGAAAATAATAAACAAAAAATAGATAGCTCCAGAATGATGATTATTGATTTTATTATGATTTTATAAAGAATCACTCTAGATCATTAAATGGAGTAATTCCTTCTTATCCAAAGTAATTGAATCTGCCTGTAGCAACATTCATAATTGCTGTGTAAAAGGTACCTTCATTATGAACTGGATAAGTGTTTATAACACTATAAACTCCCAATTCATTTTGCATAGTGCTAGTTAAATTAGCCAATAAATTTTCTGCAATTGTTCTTCTTTAATCACCTTTAGGATCTTTGTGCCAATGGTCATAGTTAGTCTAAACCATATATTAGAATTGATCGTTTCCTAATCCAGTGTTATTGAAAAACAATGTTGGATAAGTTGAGATTGGATCTCTAGAAATGATGGCGCCTTAATTGAATCCAGTACCTGCAACAATATTGAATTGTGAGCATGCGACAATCACATTTTCTAAATAAGTAACGGCATCATCAAAATTATTAATGTCAGAATCAAGGATCTAAATATATTTTAAAAATATTTACATGTCTAAATGTCCATCCTAATGATGTTGTTCCTGCTGAGATTTTCTTCAATAACATAAATAATGGCAAATAGTGTCCATATCTCCAGTTTTCTTACAAGGAAACAACTCCATATTTGAACATGGTAACAAAACCTGTCTTAAACCAATATTAATCAACAGCTTCACCAATATATTGACCATTTTTAATAAATTTGAAATGAACAACAAGTAATCTACCGGCATCTGGAGACTGGTCCATGTTTCTTCCATGAATAATACCATCTTTAGTCTATAATAATATGGCAGTGCATTCTTTAATATTGACTGATAAGGAGTGACCGATTTCATGGAAATAAGCCCAAGCAGACATATATTCAAATGTGACATCAGATCTATTGAAAGCTTCCACAATTCCTTCAAGTTCTTGAGCATATTGGGGCCAATGAGTTCTTACGGAAGTAGCTAATAAAGCATAGTCCTTAGATGTTAAATGTTTGAAGGTAGTTTCATTGTGATAAGAAAAGAAAGCACCAAAAGAAGCATCATATCCATAAGTGTTTAAGATTAATTAAACAGCTGGCTAGAATCTCTATTTTGCTGGGCCATCTAGGTCTATATCTAGTGTTGGAACTATTGTGTAAGCGTAGGTTGTAGCTAATATCAACAGGATTACTGCAAGCTTCATATTATTATTATAAATAACATTTTAAATATAAGTAATTTTATATTATTATCGATGATGACTTCATCACATTTATATTATTATCTCATTCATCAGTTAATGTGATACTTGGTTATCCAAATGCTATTAATCTATTGTATTTGGCATTCATGATCACTGTATAGAAAGTTCCTTCATTGTGTATAGGATAAGTGTCCATAACAGAGTAGACACCAAATTCATTAAATAGATTACTTTACATATTTGCTAACAAATTTTCTGCAATGGTTCTTCTTTGATCATCTTAAGGATCTGGTAACCAATGATCATAATTTGTCTAAACCAAGTACTTGTATCCGTTCTAACCTTAAGGTATACTACTTAATGATATTGTTGGATAAGTTTCGAATGGATCTCTTGAAATAATCACTCCTTAATCTTTTTCAGTTCCTCCGATGACATTGTAAAGAGCGCATGCTACTCTGTTTTATTCAAGGTATGATACAACCTAATCAAAGGTATTGAGTTTATTATTCACTAAAACTTCTCTATATGCCCATGGTAATGAAGGTACTCCTTGTTAAATGAAAGTCAAGAGCTGATCTTTGCTTAAGGGATCACCAAATCTCCAATTCTCTTCAAGGGATGCAACATTATATTTCAACAATGTAACAAATCCAACTTTGAACCAATACCAATCAACTGATTCTCCTATATATTTTCCATCTTTCTTAATTGTCAAATGTAACACGATATTTCTTGCTTAACCTGGATATTGATCCATATTTCTGCCATGAATTATTTGATCTCCAAATGATAACAACACTCCAGTGCATTCAGTAGTACCGCTTGTTATGTGACCGATTTCATGGAAGTATGCCCAAGCAGCCAGATATTCAAATGTAACTTCTGGTCTATTGAATTCTTCAACAATTCCTTCTAATTCTAGTGAATATTCTGGGAAATTCCTTCTTATTGCTTTTGCTATTGTTGTATAATCTTCAGGAGCCAAAACATTGAAGGTATTTTCATTGTGAAACTGGAACACTGGTCCAAATGAATTTTCATATCCATATAACGTCAATACTGTTCTGACTGACTCCTTCCATCTTTGTCTAGGAGGAGCACTCAAATCTATTTCTACTTCTGGAAGGTAATTGAAACAACTGGCAGTTGCCAATAACACTAATAGTATTTTGTATTGCATGGAATAAGTTTATAATAATTGATGAGCTAATATTTAAATTTATATTATATTATGATGACTTCACTTAAATAAAATAATGACTTCACTACCTGGTCATTCCTTCTTACTTTTTCTTGTTTGTTCCCAACTTATTCTACTCATGGATATACTTACTATCTATCTTCAAGATGTTGGCGCAATAATCAGGCAATTAGTCAAATACATTTTTCTGTAACAAGATTTCCTTTTATTATTATATAAATTGTACTTTTCCTGCATTTTTACCCGCTCCATCATGAATGCTAATACCACAATGGAATGTTTCCTGCATTTGCTTAACTACATATGCAAAACTGTAAATATCTTCGATCTTTCCTTAATGATCAAATCCGAAATATTCCAAACCTACAACTCTATTTATTTATTGATTATGTTATTTCTCAGCTATCAATTGCAACCCCTTGAATTCACCTTGTTTAACTTCACTTTAGTTTAATCTCAAATTTTTAATTCTGTAACTCTTCTACATAAGTTCCTCGATTCTCTTGTATAATCTTTCTAAAGTAATCTAATTTTGAGGTTATTTTTTTTTCTATTCCTTCTCTTTTTCTTTTTCTTTCTCTTTTTCCTTATCTTATTCTTCTTGTTATTCATCTTCACTTTCAGATTAATGTTCTTTTATTCCTAGTTCATTAACCAAATCTTCTGTCAATACTATCATCTTTTTCTCCTATTTCAAATTCTTCTTTATGTATTAATTCAATTATGATATATATTATTCTCTTGTTAATGGTTCAACCTTTTAATTGTCTTCCCCCTCCTTAGCGAATAGTTTCACCAAAGGACCAACTGGTAAAAAGAGATCAGTGACTTCAATATTCTATTTATATTAAGCAAATTGATTCTTCTCTTCCTTCTCTTCATCACCTTTCTTAGCAGCCTTCAATACGGTTGGTTCCCAATCGGTAATTTATTCATGTTATCTATCAATTTTAGTTATTGAAGGTTATCCTCCCTTTTTAACTTCCTTGTACTCAATCAAACCATCCTTTTACATCGTCTACAAAAATCTATCAAATATTAATGAGCATTTACTTTCCAATCTTTTGATATGATGAATTTTTTAGATCTAATTCAATTCCTGGTTTCTTAAATGCAAGCATATACTTTTCATAGAATACTTAACCTTCTAAAGGTAATTATTTATCATTAATTCCAATTTTACAAGCATTTAAAAATGATTCCTTTATGTATTCATCCATTACTTTTGTTGGAACACCTCCAACCTATTATTATTATTGTTATTGTTTCTATTATTATTACTTATTTTAAGCCCCTTTTTTGTGTTTATTGTCATCATCACTATCATCTGAGAATTGTTATTTACCTTATTATTACTATTACTGTTATTGTTATTATTAAACTGGTTTTGCTTTGCCTGCTTTTTTCTATTCTTTTTTTGCTGCTGGTTTCTTAGCTCCAGGTGCAATCATATTCAAATCAATATCATCATCTGAATATTCCTCATAGTTTTATGTTTTCGTTTCTTAGACTTCATCAAAGTTTTCTGGTTCAATTGGCTAGCCTAATTCATTTGGACCATGCTCCCATAATTTATCCCCTTGTTTATGCAAAATATATCCTGCTATTCCCTTCTCCTATTCTTTCTTTAAATCTATAGAATCGCAACCAATGGCTATAATTGCCAATAATCTAGATATTCTATTGTAATTACTTCTTCTAATGATTTACCAACTTCTTAATAGCATCCTTCTTGAATTCTCCCAATTTATCTTAATTACTTATTTAAGTCCATAGCACTTTTCCTGCTTTGAGTACTGCTGCTTCATCAATTCCATCTTTTAATATCAAAGTACCAACTAATCTAGGATACTCAGCAACAACAAACACTAATTAAGCATCTAGATAAATATTTACATGATGGAACATAATCCTCCTTTCCTGTGCCATCAACAAAGGCAGGATATTCATCTGTATGATAAATAATCATCTTTGATCCAACTAGTTTCTCCTACATACATTATTCAGAATCCTCAAAGATCTTTTTGACTGTTAGAGCATCGAATTATTTCCTAAGTGTAGTCTCAAAGTTATCTTTATCCTTTCCTTTTAAAAGAACAGATCCTTAAATTTTTATTGTTTTGCCAAACATTAAATTTCTTTAATTAAAACAATTGAAGTTTGTCTATTTAAAAAAAAGAACTAACCCATCAGACAAAGTTTATTTTAAAACACCCCAAATTCAAACAAGTTATATGTTTAAGCTATTTTCATACATAAAATAAGATTGATTTGATATGTTAGGAGAAATAATCTATCCCAGTATTTGGTATTTCTACTTTCTTTGTGAAATAATTTTATATATCTATTTTATGTTGTCAATTTTTGAAAGGACAAGAACATCTAAATTAAGCGAATTAAGAAATATCTAATAATATGAACAGTATAAAAGTAACAATTTTTATAAAATTTTAAATTTGATGATGTTTCCAATCAAAAATTTTTGAGAAATGTTCAGCACCTTATACATTTTAAATTAATAGATACTTTTATTTATCTATTAAATCATAACCAGTTAATGTAATTCAAGTTTAAGCTATTTTATGGTGTTAACTTTAATCATATCATAAATAACTTCTATTTTATTTCAAGAGTTGTATTGAATTCATATTTTTTCTAATAATATAATTATAGTAAATATCTAAAATAATCTTATTTGATTATAGAAACATATTACAAGTCATATATTATTTAAATTGAAAAATTAATCTGTGTTTTGCAGTTTACTAATCTATTTTACAGTTATTACTTATCAAATTATTTTTTTGTTTTCCAAAAATGGAAGTTATTTTAATGAATTTTCAAAGTTTACTATATAGAAATTTGTTAAAAATTTATTTGATAAGAGAGGGGAGATATTTTACAATAAATAATGACTTGTATTGTTATTATATCTAATTTGATATGTTCATTTCGGCTTTCTTAGCTTAGAGCTAATGTATGAAGTTAAATTAAGTTTATAAATAGAATAGATTAGAATGATATAAGTGAATGAAATTGCAATTTATGACCTTCTGCTTATACTTTGGACAGAATGAGAATTTAATTTATGTAATAAATTCGTTATTCATTATGTTTTATGTGTAATATCATAAATAAATTTTGCTGGTTAGAAAATGGGTACGTGAAATCCTGATATTGGAGTTGTTGGACTAACCACTGTGATTGATTCCTTTCTATTTTGCAATCTATCGGATTCATTTGATATCTGCTAGGGAAATTGCTTTTATTGTTGAATCTCAAGATTATTTAGTTTTTCCTTTGATAAAAGCTTTTTATTTGCAGCCTTCTATTGGAATCTATTGTTTTTAATACCAAAGGCATTCATTTATTTTAGTAGTTTATTTAATTTAAATATTAAAAATGTATTAGTGTTCTTCAATGGAAAGAAACCCTCTCGAGAATTAGAATAGGAGAGAATGGGGATTTTGCTTTTTTGATTGGTGAAAGTGATTCGTGATTGATTTGAGATGCACATTGTAATATTTATGAAACACAAATTTTCCTCCAAAACATTTGGATTATAACCAATATATGAAAAAGTATATAAATAATATTAAAAATTTTAAATATGAAAATTAAGAAGAAGAATGAATCGTAGAGAGTTACTGAGTTGGGGGAACACATTTTGAAAACTTAAAATACTATGTTGGCTGCTAAAATCGATCAATTAAAGAAGGAAATATAAAATATGAAATCTGTATACAACAACCCAATATATCTAGTTTCTAGTTGCCAGAATAAACAGAGAGAGAGCTGATTTAATCGGAAGAATTAACACATTACAAAAAACTGAGTAATTAACTTTCACGGAGAATACGGATCATTATGGCTTACAATGAGGAGGCCATCCAAAAAAAAGTAGCCTAAGAGGATATCCAAGATGAGAAATTTGAATGTCTTTGTGGTGCTAATTAGATTGATTCTATTAAATATTCCCTTGTAAATGGTCATCCATAAATATTGTAATAATAATAATAAGAGATCCAACAGCCAGAAGAAAATAATCAATAATCTCAATCGAATCAAAAGTAAAAAACACCTAAATAATTAGAGATTATATAAAGAAATTGATTTAGGAATTTTCAGAAGAGAAGGGCCAATTACTCCATTAGATCGAAGAATTGAAGTTGTAGTAGAAGTTGCCTGAGGAACAATTCTTTTAAACTCAATTATTTGCAGAATTGGTATAATAGAATAACTATTTGACCACAACTCTGTTCAACATTGAGGAATAATTGATATAGGTAATTTCCATTGTAAATCTAGGTCCAATTGGCCAATAAAGAATTATTAGAGAAAAATCAACAACAGATCTAATAGTGTCAATTGGAATGTGAATAGAAAATAAGGGATTTGTTTTCTCAGCAAGATATGATAAAAATAGAAGTCAAATAGAATGACGATTAGACTCAGAATACTTTGATTGAAGAATTGAAATCCTAAGTAGAACATTCATCCAAAATGATTGAGGATCTAAAGATTGAATTGTAACAATGTAGAGAACGTAATAAAGAAGCACATAATCAGTTGGGTGAAATAATAAATTAAAAACAAGCATTATTGAATTAAAATAACGAATTGAAATAATATATAAGTGTTCATAAGATACTATCTAAGGATGAGAAGATTGAGCAAGTGACTCTCAGATATGAGAAACACAAATAGCTTTTGTATGAAATTGAACAAGAGTATGCAAATACTAAATCTAATGAATTCATTCAAAGATTTAGAGAATTTGTTGGATATGTCAAGATGAGAGATGAAAAAGTGAAGGGATTGGAACAGTAATTGGAAGCAAAGACAAATGATTGCAACAATATAAAGAAGGTAAATAAATATCATTATAAAATTCAGTAAATACAATAATTAATTGACGAATTGGATTATAATTCAAATTCATTTAATTCGATCAATGAAACCAATAAGAATCTAAGTAAACTTGTAAATGAAACCTAAAAGAATCTGAGCAGAGCTATGCAAGAGAAGGTGGATGAACGCATTAAATTCGAAACAGAAAGACAAGTATGAAGCATCATTTAAACATAGTAATTTTAATAAAAAATACAAACGGCTGACGAAACTATTAAATAATTACAATAACAGAATGATCAATAAAAAAAATTACTAAATCTGGTTGAAAATGAAAGAATGAGTTATAAAGAAACCATGAGAATGTTGTAAAAGTCTGAAGGGGAAAGCTAACAAAAATTGTTATAAAAGGAATGGGATGTTGGTAAAATTTTAGAGGAAAATAAGATTATTTAAGAAAGAGAAAAACTGAGTGAGTCCATAAATCTTAAATTTATTAAAAAAGCAGAAAAATCTAAGAGTAAATTAAAATATTTGAAGTTACAAATGAAATTGTAATAATGTTATCATATTTTATAGAGAATCCAAAGATACTGATAATGAACTATTAACATCCTTAAAAATGATGGTAGATTGCCAATAATGTAAAAAAAGAGTAAAATAAGTTATCTTAATGAAATGCTTGCATATGTTCTGTAAACCTTGCATTGACGACAATTAAAAAAATCGAAATAGAGCTTGTCCTGTCTGTAGAGCTAAGTATGGAATTGAGGAGGTGAAGGCTATAATATTAAATTGAGATAATTATATATCATAAATCATACATATAGAATTATAATCATGATTTATTTTGAAATTATCTATTATCTAATCATATTACCACTTTAAATTAAATTATTGCTAAAATAGAATTGAAAATAAATATTATAATTAAGAAATTAAATTAAACTAGAGAAACATACAAAGATGATCCAAATCATATGTATTAACATAATTGAAATAATAACTTATATTTAAATTAGTTTAAAACTCAAAAGAAAAAGAAGGACACCTCCATACCTTTTTGTAATAAATCTATATCTTAAAATGAATCATCTTTTTTAAGAACATGATTAAATTATAAAATTCCATATATCAAATTATTAATATCAATATCAACATAAGGTAAGAAATTAACTCTCCTTGAATATCTTGAACATTAATTTTCACACTCAAATCAGGTACTACAGCAACACCTTATTCGCATTTATATTGATACGAATTCCAATGACATTCATAATCTAATGCTTCACAATCTTATTACAAAATGAGCTGTTTACAAAATTTCCTACAAGCCTTATCCTATGAGCTCCAATAACATTTATTACTCTCGGTGCATGTAGTTTCTGTTAAGAATTATTCACATAATATTGAATTACATTTTCCATTTGAATAATAGCAAGCTCCATTGCTATTTCGACAAGTACATTCATCTTTAATTGATTCACAAACTCTGCATTATAAAAATTAATCCATGATGCAGGAATAATTATTTATTTCATTACCATTACACAAAGTTGGGGATGCATTGTATAAATGACAATAGGTATTTGTGCAATGATAGGTGTTCTCATAGACTCCGTACATTTCCTGTGAGCATTTGAATTAGTTTATGGTAGTCTAAACACAAGTGGAAGAATCAGTTATTGTTGAACAAGCTGAGATCTCTTGACATTTACCATCCAAATATATGCAATTAGAGAAATTGAAGCAATCTTCTTCATTTCTATCTACACATTCTAAAGGACGACATTGAAAATTGTCGTATTTGCAAGCAGTATTTGAACAATCACTATTGGGACATAGTTCCTTTAGGTTTGATGCACTTATACAATGATTCAGAATTTAGATACAGTTAGATGAATTAAATACAAAATCATTGCAATTCTATTGATTATTTAAGTTAACTATGTCTTCACAAGTTGAAGCATTTAAACATTATGATTAAGCATCCTTATAACACATCTTACCATTAATAGATCCAGAACAATCGGTCAGATCATTACAATTCTTTAGTCTACAAGTGTAGATATCGTAATCATAAACACAATTTGAGTTGGACTTGCAATTGGTTTCACTCAATTGACATTGTGTTTTAGGCTGTTGAGCAGAACAAATGCATTAAGTGACATCATAGGACCATTTGCAATTTGTTTAATGGATGCAATTATTGTAATTTAAGCCATAATAACTACAAGGCAATGATTACAATGTAAAATAACAATTATTAGAAATTGGATCATAGGCACAACTATCTAAGGTGTTCATCTTACAAGCCATTTCGTTAACATCTGATAATTCCAAACAACTTTTCTTAAGATTAGTTACTCTTTGACATTTGTTATCCACATATTGACATGACTCTAAAACCAGAGAAACACATGCCATTTTATTCAATCCAGGATATGAACAATTAAAATATTTGTTGACCCTCTCTTAACAGGTTCTATTTTCGACATTATAAGAGCAGACATTATTATGATAATTTAATTATGAGCAACTTAGACTATTCACTTATGTGGAATTGTCACATTGATTAATACCTTTCTAAACCACAAAGCTTTGACAGCTCTTTGAAGTACTATTCCAATAACATGCTTCTGTTTTAATATTTGTACAGCCAATCAACGACAACCCAATAGTAGCACAAGTGTCTGAGCTGGCGTTGATGTCTTTGCAAGCATTGGTTTTGGAATCGTACTTACAACTTAGATGAGGTATCAATTGACATACTGATTGAGTTACATCTTTATAATCAGAACAATTAGATTTGATCAATAGTTCATAAACAGAGCATCGATTATTTTAGTAGATGCAGGCAGCACTGGTTAATTTAAGACAGGCCTAATGAAATCATTATCATGCATACATATTTTGATAACCCTCTGGAGTTACAATTGTCTAATGAAAGATCCAAAGGTACACAAGATGAGAGTTATTGGTCATATTTAATAGCCATATTCAAAGTTGTACAACAAATCTCTGTGACTAAGGATAATTAAGTTTAGCTAACATTCTAATCTGATTACCAATCAACACATTAGTCATTTCTCCATGCACATGATACATTAGAAATTGCTAAGCATTATTTAATGCTATTATCAATGCAAGCATTAGTATTACATTGACTACTTGTTGAACAATCAATGCACAAGTTATTTTACCATGAACAATAGCCAATTCGACTGCCAATGCAATCCTCTTTTAGTGAAAAGAAGTTACATTCCTTGATTAATCTTATTTAAACAAAGTTACTCTAATCAGTCTCCATAGAGTTGGTATATTCACTGGTTAATTTGACATTGCACTTTTAAGTGATATCGTCATATTTACAAGGCTGCATTGAATATTTGGAACAAGAGACTTTGTTAAACTAAGAAGGATATAATGATTTCTTACTCCAGTTGGAATATCTTGGCAAGAGACTGGTTGAAAGTCTTTGCCTATGTTCTCGCATCTGCCATTCCATTTACAAAACATGGATGTGTTTAAACAACCCCATTCATTCACCAAGTTCTCACAAGAGTATTTACTTCTATACCATTTCTGACATGTATTGTTAATCCAAGAACAGTACTAATTGATTACCTTCTGACATGCCGAATAACTCAATGTATCTGAACAAGATTAGTCCACCTCAGTTAATGAATCACACTTATTGGTACCCAAATTGAATGAACATGGCACCAAGGCCTATTTACAATAATTCAAAGTAATGTAATCACTACAATCTTAAGAGTTGAACTTATTTACACAAGTACCACTATCCCATATACAAATCTACTGATATGTTAATATTTATTCGCATGTGTAATATGAGACATCGTCTGTGCAATTGATTGTTTTTAAATTGGCCTCTTAACAGGTTAAACCATCCCAAAAACACGTTAATTCTGCTGTGTTTTCAAGACAGAGACTCCTTGATAACCCTAAGTTGTTGCATCTTAAGAGTGAAAAGGGTAAATCGGTTGAATACTCAAAACATGTCACACCATTCCATAACTTAGATTAAGATTTGCAATAATTTTCACTATATTCACATTTTGAATAGGTTCCATCGGTACATTGATCCCCAACATTATCACTAATATCACATTCTGAATTGTCACCTATCCAAATACAAGAGGATTTAATTGAATTTAGACAAGCCAACCTATTCTTAAATTCACAATCTACTATTTCATAAGATTACTTGTATTCCTAACATTTTTCATTCACCCACACACATTTTAAGTCATTGATAATTTCAAGACAAGACTTTTGATTTAATTGATGACAAATGTAAATGCTGTTATATTTGGATTCGTGATAGATCAAACAAGTTTGCGAATTCAAATCAAAGTAATATAAATCACCTGTTAAGGATATGCAACCGAAATAATTCAAATTGATATCATAGGTGTCATTTTGTGATTCATTACATGACTAGAATATCCCACTTGAATCTAAAACAATCAAACAACTCTCCTCCACAAATGTACACTGATATAACCCAGTATATTAGGTACAACCTGTGATCTCAATTGTGTTCCTTAACTTACATTTATTAGTGGATTCTTGATAATAACATTCCTCAGTGTTTAATTCATTTTGCATAATAGATAAACACAATTGACGATTGACTTAATACGAAGCTACTGCTGAACATGTCAAATCTCCCGTGTATGTTAAGCAAATATCATTATCAAGATAACATTTGATACCTGGAATATCCTTAACGCAAAATGGAGTTAGTGTTTCACATTATAATGGAATTGTGTGACAGAACATTTCCCCTTTGGCTGTCATTTTGAATCCACAATTCTAAATACTCTCACAAGCCAAGAACGACCTAACTTGAACTTAATCGAAGAAATCGCAAGTGTCCAATTCCCAAGATTGAACTTCTGAACACGTTTGATACCAGATTTGATCTTTGAATTGACATGGCATGGCTCTTTACAACGCACATCCATATTGGGTTTGCGTTAAACTAGAACATTGATATTGGGAGAAATCTTCATCTTTCATATCGCTTTTGGCATTGTAATTAATCATTTGACAAGTGTCATCCTTGTAAACACATAGTGGATAATAATTCCAACAGAAATTTAATGTAGTGTATTAAAAATCATTGCAATCATGAACTTAGAAATTATTAATTTCAAAGCATTTACCATTATCGTAAACACAAGCCTTAGATTTATGGTAAATGCATTCCTGAACTGTCTTGGAATCCTCACAATCATATTCTTTATCTGTGCATCTATCATCTACCCATTAACAATAACCGGGTTGGGACATACACAAATCATATCTCAAGGATAACCAACAAGGTACTGTTGCTTAGTCACTTGAACAACCTTGACGACCTGCAAAACAAACACCACTACTTATTCCACAAATTCTCCATGACTTTACATTGTCATAAGCTTATGGACATAATTCTGTTGATAATTTACACTAATTGTTGTTTTGATCCCATATACAATTCAATGCTCCGTAGGTACAACCCATCTTATTTCTATAATCGCAAGAAATAGATAAATCAGTTAATTTAGAACACATATTGTTTATAAATACACAAGGTCCTCTGGTGTGCAATAAACACAATATTTGTGATGCTCCAATTTAATCGCAATCAAAAACTTCATTTGCTTATGGAGCCTTACATTTGTTAGCTTACTTATTAAAATAACATGCATCTGTACTGCGTATACACAATTACGGGTTGTATATACTCATATCATATGCACCCAAATTGGTACAAGTATCCCCAAAGGATAGATACATTGAAATGCATTTATGTGTATTTTATTTATAACATACCTAACCTGGTGTCGTTATTTTATTACAAATATGCATATTGCTATTTTAACATAAGAGCTAATTTAAGAGTAGGTCTTTGTATTCTTGAGGTCCATTTAAAGTTGTACATTTTTGGTACTAGAAATAACACTATTGAGTGGTGTATCCCATACAACGATAGACATTCATTTGCCTTGTGTATCCACAATCAGCATCAGTAATATCAGTTACCAGACTTGTGCATACTGAATTGACAACTTCACAATATTATTGATCAGACAGATTGAGTGCTATGTTGGTGGTTAGGTTAACACAAATGTTTACATTAGAAGAGCCCTCAAAGGAATTACAATTGGAGTAAAAGCCTTATTCATGATTCCTGCATTTGACAGTTGCATCACTATTGATTGATCCCCAAAAACAATATTGTCCAGGCTTTGTGATTCCTAAACATGTTGATTGACTTATGAATTCAGTATTGCAATTCATTCGATCCAAGAAAGGAGTTGAATCTTAGCATTGATTGCTCACATTGTTGAAATAGCACAGAGATGAGGACATTCTACAAGCATACCTATTGGCATATTGATCACAATCAGTGATGTTAAGATAGACAACAAAACAGCTCTGGGAGTCTGAGTCATACTTACATTGAAGGGATTAATTAACAGACAATCTGCAGACACTTGGACTGACATTTTGCAATTCGTAGCAATTATAGTAATTAATTTTGGATGGTTGCAAATACCCACATTAATTGTCGACCCATGCACAATATTCGTTTGTTATACTCAAACATTAGTCTTAATTGATGCCCTTGGTATCGCAATGTAAAACAGAAGCGTCCTTGGAGTAGCAACTAGAACTCTAGGAATCATAGAGACATTATTTGTTAGCTGCAACTAGAGCTCCTTTACATAGGTTTGGATTGACCAACTTCATAAGATCACAAGATTTGCTAATATTGGTCACATGCAAACATTTCGATTTGAAGTAATCCCATCTGGTGTTGGAGTTAATTAGATTCAGACAATATTCTTTATTGATTCTGTTATTCACTCCATTATTGCATTCAAAATCATCCACATCATAATTCTTGTCCTCAAAATCAACACAAGGTGAATATAAATTAACCTTTGAACTTTCACATGTTTATTTAGCTATGTTGTAATAGAAGTGCTTTCCTGATTGTGAAATACACAAATTATAGTTCATGAGAGTGGTTTCTGGAAATGACAAATAATGCGAATATAACTTTTGATCTTTAACATTCAAACAACTATTTTAATACCAGATGCAGAATTGATCAAACATTAGAATGGAAGTACAACAAAATATTGTATTGCAATTTTCACATTTCATTTACTCGATTGTTGTGATTGTCTTACACTTTCCCATATTGGCATCCCAATAACAAGGTGTAGCCATTTATTGACAATAATCCTAATTTAAACCCAACTAGTCACATTTACTTGTAGGAGCACAAACTATGAATACAGAATCTGATGACTCTGTGATGTCAAAGAGATTGCTCCCCAACCAAACACATCGCGTATCATTTTGGCAGTTCACTTATGACTTATATTAGACACAAGCCTAACTACATTCCGCCTTTGAGGTTGAATAATCCAAATAGCAAGCAGTCCCTTTCACCTAAGCACAATCAAAATGCGTTGCCAAACCTGTCTTCGTATCGCACTACTATTACACTTAAATGGCTGCTATGTTGAAACATTCGTATTCTTTAGAATAATTGATCTGGCATTTCTGTTTCATGTTCAAATACCTTTAACATACCAAACCACTCATACTCGGACATACTATTTAGTTCTGATCTATGTATTATTAATCTTGTAATTGACTCTCTGTTATTGGCTAACATTCGTAATTCGTAAACGCTGTCTTCACCGGATTCGTAGGGTGTTTGCTTAAGTAATTACAATAAATGTGATTGACTCCTCTGATTATACCGCTCAGACTTATTAGAGTAAGGAATCTACTCTCGTTTAAAATCTCCTAGGCTATACACCCGTATCTTGAATAATCATTTATTTTCACTAATATTATCAATATCTTATACGATTTGCAATGCTCAATTAGGTTGGCAATGTATACCATTTGTAATCCCCGTTGTTGTCGACATAATTGTCTCCCAACTTGTCATCATCGTATGTTTTAGTCGTGTCCACTGTTATCCCAGCCTCCACTTTGACCAAGTTCTGTGCTTCTGTAAAGAGATCAGGCTTATATGACAACAAATCCCAAAGGAGAGTACTGTGGATAATTAAATATCCTGAAATTCGACTGCATACTGAAGCACTCAATTCCAAATCCTAAAATATCTGATTAATATTGTTGATCTCCCCAACACTCAAGTTCTAGCATTGACCATTCTCCCATTTACAAAGTTCATCAGGATTAGTAATTGCTAAGCAACCTGATTTTGATAATTTGCTGCTGCATCTCGTTAGGTGCTTATCATAAATAGTGTGGCAAAACGTATCGAATATGCATTCAGATGTTGTTCCATCCATATTCCCAAATTACTTCACACAAAGTCTCTAACTCAAATTAGGATCACATCCCATCAAATAATTGTTTGATTTCTAACAATACTACCCCTTCCATTCGCATTACTAATCTGTCAAATTTATACATCCATCGTATGTTGTCTATTGCACACATACATCAATACTACTAACTACAATTATCAAAATTACTATTATCAATACTTTCATAATTTTATTTTAAATATATAAAATACTCTCTAAACTCCAATATTCTTTCAAGATATCCCTTTCCTGCTATTATGTTTCGATACTATTTATAATACTCTTATAAGATTAGATGATCCCAATATTGCTCCCTCTCTTCAAGAAATACAAACAATTGATCTCAGATTCAAATTTCTACAGAAATTGAAATATTTATAATTGAATATTTAAAGTTTTCTGAAACGAATTCCTATTAAAAATAAAATGAAAATTTTTGTAATTTTAATATTAATAAAACTTGCATTTGCTGGTACTTAACTACCTCCCTTCTATCATACGACGGATGAAGTTGAAGCTGAAGTCAAGAACATCCTAAAGAATTGTTAAATGAAGGCCACACAAAAGAAATACGGCATCATCGATTCTATAACATTAAAACCTAAATTGGATCATGAAAATAAAAATAAAGCTTTTGTTATCTTCGGAGAACATGCAAGAGAATTAATTAGCGTTGAAACTGGATTACACTTTCTCAACTAAATATGCCATACTCCCCTGGATTTCAAATTGAAATTAATCATCAATATGAATCCAACTTCAAGGAGGTATGTGGAAAGAGGGCATTATTGTCTTAGGGAAAATCTCAATGGTGTGGATCTAAATAGAAATTATGGGTTTTAGTGGAAATTCAAGGAAAATCACTTTGTTTAAGATTCCTCTGGCCCAGAACCTTTCTCAGAAGTTGAAACATAAACTGTCAGAGATATTCTCTCCTCGTTCAAACCAAGAACCTTTGTAACTGTGCATTCAGGTACATTAGCAATCCTTCATCCTTGGGCCTTTAAGAAGGAAGATGTCGTTTTTGCCCATCATCACAATCTGAGAGGAGTCAAAAACGAATGCGTAGATTGTTTAATAGGTGGTGCTGCTACATAGATAGGATATACTGCCTCGGGCAATTCAATGGATTACGCTTATGGAATGGCGAAAGTTAAGAGGTCTTATACTCTTGAGATTTTTGAGTTTGAAAAGTAAAATTAAAGGAAGGAACCAGATAGTAACTTCGCTGAATTCCTACAACATAAAGAAAAAGTGAAATCCGAAATCAGCAACAAAGAACTATTTTGTTTTGATTATTTTAACCCAAGAAGTGAAGATCAATATAATGAATTAGTTGCCAAATGGTCTAATATTATTTTATAACTGATCTAATCATGAAGAATCATTTACAATTCTGAAATATATTTAATTATTAAGAAACATCCAAATATATTGATCGCAAAAATATATTTGATTAGATTTCAAAATATAGCGCATTTATAATTGAAATATAAGTGACATTTCTTCATTTACTCTTAGATATGCTACTTATCTTTTGTTGTCTTCTTCTTTTAAAAACAAACTCATTAAAAATAGTTATAAAAGTTTATAATGAATAATAAATTATGTATGAATAAAAAATTACAATTAATCACAATTCACAATTACTCGGTGATAAACTACCTCAAAGTTTTTTAAAAGAAATTGGGTCTAGAAAGCACAGTGATTCAACCTTAAATCAATTAGCAAGGTGGAAAATTGGAATAGTTTGGAGATGATATTCAGGTATATTCTCATTATGATTCTTCCAATTTATTTTTTGTGACACTCGATCAAGATGGCATTAACATACTATTAAATAGTGACTCAAATACTAATGGATGCACACAATGGTTTAATTTTTAGATTTAAGCATTAAAACCTGTTGTAACTATAAAATTTAAAATCTTAAATAATAGAAGAAGCAAGCAGTTGCTAACGTCGTGCAATTTATTCACTTCAAAAAACAGATGTTTCGACATTCACTATTACAAAACCAATGTTAATCATCCTTATTATGCAAACGAGGACGTTAACATAGCTTAATATTAAAAAGCCATCTCTTTTTATACATTGGAATTTAAATACACTTTCACTGATAAAGATTTCGTTACATTCGCCTATGCTGAACCCTATCCATTAAGTCGAGCCCTTCAGTTGAGGGATTACACAGTGATAGGATATACACAGTTAAACAATCCAATTATCAGGATTAAAAAGGGAAAGGCCAAAAAATATATAGTAATCCTAGCGAGATAGCATCCCTGTGAGACAAGCGGATCGTTTATAGCAGAGGAACTGATTAAGATAATAAACTCCCAAAAATATCGATACATAATTTATCCTATGGTAAATCCTGATGGTGTATTTCTTGGGAATAGTAGATGTAATAAAAATGGGATTGATTTAAATAGAAGGTGGATCAATCCATCTCTCCAAGAGGAACCAGAAATCTATTATATTAAATAATCATTGGCGAAATATTAATCAAGGATTAAATTTATGATTGATTTACACGGGCATTCCACAAAGTAAAATTACTTTATTTATGGATGCTCAACTAATTCAAATTGTAATGTAAAGATGAAACATTTTGTCAAATAATTTCAAAATTGCAAGCATTTCAGTTTAAGGGATTGTTCCTTTGCAGCACAGAGTGATCGAAAATGCACTGCCAGATAGACATTCTGGCTTGATTATAATATCCAATATTCAATGACTATCGAGGTCAGTTTGTTTGGATCATAGTAGGGTTTGCATAAAGGAAAATTTAATAATCAGGATTTTTCAGAGATAGCCGAATAAATATATAATCAAGTAGAGCAATTCAACGAGGATGACTTCGATTTAATCTAAATGCCTATTATGGAATGTCTAAATGAGAGTTGCGAATCAGAAAGTGAATGTGAATAAGATATTGTGAAAGAGGTAATTGTGAAAAAGAAATCTCAGCAATATCGATTGTTAGAATAATAAAATCAGAAACCATAAACTATTCGGTAGGACGAGGATGTTAAATAAAAACAATAGATTTTACCGAAGTTAAGAATATCAAAGGTAATGAGTAAATCAGAACATAGAGCATCATCTATTTTTGAAATAGACAATTCATTTGTGTTTAGATTAGAATAGTTTAACAATAATTTTAATGTTATAAAGTATTTTCCATAAAGGAATATCTAACCCAAAAGAATGAGCTCTATTAAGAAATATTCAAAGAATACTAATGCAACCATAAATGTAGAATAAATGAAAAAATATTTAATATTATGAACTTATATTTATATATATATTAATTTACAATTCGAACTGAATTATATTATGCAATAGAATAAATAACAATTTTCAATGTATAATAAGTATCATTTAGGTTTGTGATAAATTAATTTAGATTTACGACAATCCAAACAGTACCAATTCTTTTCAGGTATGAAAAACTCTAAAAACCCTGGATCACAAAATGTATGGCACATTTACTCATTGCATTTATCACACACCAACATTAGATACTACGAGTGAGAACACCCGCAAAGCTGACACTTTTGATTTTCCTCTTGTTCCTCTTGAGAATTATAGAATTGATCTTGTTCTGGTTTCCATTTTGCTTACTTCAGATTTAATTTGATTGGCGTCTTCCTTCTTTTACCATTTTCTATAGGGTATATTCTCTTGAATGTGGCTCTGCAATAAGGACATTAAGTCTTATATTTCTCTGCCCATTCCTTTATACAGGTCAAACATATCTAATGTTAGCAGACATCAATTTCACAGACATTTTATAGTTCATCCAAATTCATCATGCAAATAGGGCATTCCTCCTGCAATTATTATTTCAACCTAATTTTTCTTGCCTACTCCTTTGTTTGATTTGTTTATTATACCTTTGATAATGGTAAGTTCTAATAATTAATAGACTTAATAATACTTCCTTATTCAATACTTAGTCTGGAGGATCTAGAATTAATTTTTTTGTTCCTACCTTTTTGTTCTGTTCATAACGTTCTATCCAACGATGTTCAAATGCTTCCAAAATTCTTCGATATTGCATGTCACTTTAATTTAGTTTCGAACTGAATTTTTATTTTTATACAATTATAAATGGCAAATGCATTAGCAAATGATGCTTTGTTATAATAAGAAATTGATTAATAAGTAATTCAAAATCCACATCTATCATTTGCTCAAAAGAAATCATTAAGGAAATCAATCTTAAAAGCTAGTGTCGCAAATGCTCCAAAAAATAGCTCATTCTAAACAGTTTTAAGTGTAAGTAATACAATGGTGGGATCCTCATTGTTAGTTATACCTGTGTTGTTTTAGCAATCAGGCATTATGAGCGCATTAATTGTGGCATTAGTATTTTGCTTAATATCTTGTAAAACATGCCAATTATAAGTGGTACACAATAAACCTGAAGAATTAGATTTACCATAAACTATTGTGAGAATACTTGGGTAGAAGTATAATTTAATTTTTAATATTACGAATATCATCATTTTATACTTCGCGGGTGTAGTCTTTTTTATTTTATAATGCAGTATGTTATACTCGCTAGTTTAATTATTATGTAGAGAATTAGAGATGGATTATGCTCCTAAAACAGATTTTGTGTTAAGTAAATTATCATATCAATGGTGCGGTATCTTTTATATGTGTTTGCTCTTCCTTATTATGTTGTAAAAGAATCTTACTCTAATTATCAAGCTAGTTCAATATGGTGTCATATCAATCATCGCTTTGATTATTTATATTGTAATTAATGGCAGTATGAATATGCCAGAGGCAGTGAATGTCAGCCTATTCACTTTAGATGTAGTAACTCTAAGTGGAGTATTCTCAGTTGCTTTTATGGTACATTCTTGCATAGTGCCAATTATGAAAAATAATTTACAATAAGAAAATAATTTGAGAGACATTGCAATTAGTTTTGGTTGGACTTGGATTCTTTATGCTTTGGTAGGTTCATTTGGAGCCATTGCAATATAAGGAAAAGCTTTAAACCCTTCAGGTGATGGGTCTACAGTCTTAGACTATTTAGATTAAAACATATTTTCTTATGGAATTTAAGTACTCTAGTTGTTTCAACTTACTACTGTATTCCCATTGTTAGCATTCATCACCAGATCACAATTTTTCGCATTAATTTATAAATTGGAACAGCCTCCTCAGAAGTGGTTTGTATTTTATACATCAATAGTTGCCTTCACTACTCTGCTATTTTAATGTCTCAATATTAGTGTGTCGTTGATTTTGAGTTTATCAGGAGCTGTGGTTGGATTTTTCTAAATTTATTTGATTCCAATATAGTTACATATGACCTGTCTTTATGCTAAAAAGAAGGTCGATGACAATAGAATTGGATTGATTAATGATTCAAAAGAGTACCTTGAGAATCCAGATGAATCGATATTTGAGGAATTGGATTTCAAGTGCTTAGACCATTTAGCACTTAAGAAGAGACTTAATAAACAAACTAGGTTCTTTATCTATTATATCATAATGCTCATAGGTGCAATGATGGGATTTCTAAATATAATTGCTCCATTCTTCAAATGAGTATTAGCATTTATTTAATTTGCCCATAGAATTATATATATATATATATTATTATTATTAAATAATCAATCAGCATCTTCACAATCCTTTTCATTCATCTCTAATTCTCTGAGATCAACTTCTATGATGTCTTCCTCTTCCTATTACTCTTTCTATTCTTTTACTACTTCCTTCTGTGCATCCTTCTATGTGTCCTTCTACTCTACTTTCACAGGCTTCTTCTTTTTCTTTTGTCCTTTGGCCATAAACTTGTTAGCCACAGTCTCATCCATTTCTTATTCTCCAAACAGTAGTTCAAATACCTCATAAATGAAATTAGATACCTCTTGAGGCTTGAACTTATCCCCTTGAAATCCACCAGAATAAACAGTTGATTAAACATTTTATTTTTATTGTGCTCTCTTGACAATTCTCTCCTCAATTGTGCCTTTAGTAATCAATCGATAAACATAGACATCTTTGGTTCTACCTATTCTATGAGCTCTATCAGTAGCTTAAGCATCCATAGTGGGATTCCAATCATTATCATAAAATATAACAGCATCAGCTTATGTTAATGTAATTCCTAAACCACCTGCTCTTGTAGATAGAAGAAATGCAAATATCTTATCATTTTATTAGAACTCATTAACCATCTAAATATAATATTATGTAATACATCTCTTCTGTCATTGATTTAACATTGTCCATCCATTCTAAAGTAAGTGTACCCTTTATGTAACATGTATTCTTCCAGTATATCCAACATTCTTGTCATCTAACAGAAGATCAAGACTCGCCATTATTTCTATTTGAGTTCTTTAAGTAATTTATCCAATTGTAACAATTTAGATGAAGAGGCAATCAAGGATTCAGGACTATTAGGTAGAATGAAAGAGGCAGGGGATTCTTTGATAAACGAAAGCGCCTATCTATTATATAAACTCTGTTGAATTTAATAATAAAATGATTGTGATCTGCATTCAAATGATACAATCTAACTTTGAACTGGAGGAATATAAAACTGTAATTACTTTGAAAAAGTATAATTCACTAAAGTCGATGAATCCTACTTATTACATAAGAGGTCAATTAAATCAAATACATTTTTCTCAAACAAACTCAAAGGTAGATGTTTGAATTATAAATATGAAAATGTGGACTCTCCATTCTTTAATGAGTTGTATATGTAGTGTGCAGTGAATAAGCATTTTTTATTTTGAATTAGATTATCATATACCAATTTAGGAATAATGAAGCTAATTGGATTTCTTTTGGTTACTTAGACAATAGGGTTCTTCTAATAAACCTCAACATTCTATTTATCCTAAAATACACAAGGACTTTTGTATGGTTTTCTTTCAAATAATTCTGGATGATTACATATCTTACGAAATTACATAACCAAGTTCATTAAATTATCTACCTTCTACTTTGAATCCAACATCCTAAAGAACTCTTTTATTGATAATTTAGATTTCACATTCCTATACAATACAGCCTATCGACTGGTCATCTCACAAACAATCTAGACTTCCTTCTTCTATCCTATCTCATTCTCTACATCCTTCTTTAGCCTTCTTAACATGAATGGCTTCAAAATTGCATGTAATCTTTATAATTGATGCTAATTCAAGGTCTTTTAATCTTAAGAATGTGCTTCTATGTCTTTTGAAAACCACTCCTAAAATTAATCAAAACTATCGAAAAATCTTGGCATTATGAAATGCAATAATGCCCATAACTCACCCATTGTATTTTATATTGGTGTTCCTGTCAATAATAATCTATTTCTTGCATTAAATGATAACAAGATCTACCATCTCTAAGAGTTAATATTCTTAATTGCTTAAGCTTCATCCAAAATCATATATTGCCATCTTACTCGATTAAATATTTTATTATCTGAAACTACTAAATTATATGATGTAACTACTATGTGAAAGAGAGATTCTCTTGAACCAAAGTTTTTTTATTAAAAATATTTTCTTATTGTTTTTCTTTATTAAGCTTACCCCCAATATGGCAAGACTTTTAAAGTAGGACAAAATTTTTTAATTTCCTATTACCAATTATGTAAAGTTGAGGAAGGAGCAATCACTAGAAATGGACCCCATATTTACTTAAAGGAACTAATGTGGGACAATAATGCTATAGCTTATATAGTCTTTCCTAATCCCATTTCGTCTGCCAATATGCCATTAATACCCTAATCATATAGGTTATCCAACCATCTGAGCCCTTTTAATTAATACTCTTTTAAGTCTCCTTTAAAAGTAGAAGGAGGTGCTATCAATGAGAAATCTCTATCCTAATCGTTGTGATCTAATTTTAATTCTTATATTTAAACGTTTTCTTATTTTTTTCCATCAAATTATTACAATTATTTTCTATTATCATTGATTACTTTTTAGACATTTTCAAGTGCTTTTTCTTCATCAATCTCATCAGTATTTAATGAAATTTAATTATCTAAAGTTATTCCTAGTTTCTTAGCCATAAAGTGTGCATAAATGTCTGATTACTTCATTAAAAATTCTAATCTTTTTTATTGTAATAATTATTCTCTCTCCTCTTCTTCCTTTTTCTTTCTCTCTTGTTCTAATTTTTCTTTTCTTTTTTTGATTTCAATCAATTCTTTATCTCTTTTTCTCCAATATGATTGAGCCTCCTTTGATAATTTCTTGGCTCTTAACATAAATTCTTTTTAATATTTTTAACATTTTTAATTCCTTCTTCTTGCCTCTTTGGCAGCAAAATAGGCTATTCTTTTAAAAAATTCTCTTAAATCTTATCTGAATTTGGCTTTGAATTTACTAATTTTGACTGCATTCCTCACAACGATAGCCCAACTTTTCTTCCAATCTCCAATTTCGATAGGATCTTCATATAATTCTTATTAGATAATTGTGTTAAAATAGTCATTCTAAGTTGAAGCCTGGCAATCGTTTTTAAGCTAAGAGTTGATGATAAGTTTTTACTTTTCTTTACTTTTTTATATTTGCTTTTCCCATTCTGGAATCTGTATACTAAATTTTGAATGCATCTTCAAAATTGTACCCAAGCTAAGGCATTTTATTTGATTGAAAAGCTGGCTCAAATTATTGCGATGACTAAATAAGTGATTATAATTACGATTCCAATGTGTATTTACTATTCCAATATTGTTTCTTATTTGTGGCTGTATTTATCATACAAAAATTTTTCAACCATGTTTGGTTGATCTCGGAATACTTTGGAAAAGAACATTAGTAATTTATTTTATATCTTGCTCTGATTGTTTGCTGCATAGGCATATTTCTTGTCTTTCACTTCATTAGTCTTCCTCTGGAAAACTAATTTTATTATAATTGAGACAACTAACCTTGCTACCTCTTGTTTTCCAAATAGCAGAGTCGAGCCTCTTCCAATGACAAGTCTTCTACTGGAGGACGTTTGAGATTAAAAACCAGATTAAATTCTGGTTCTTAGACTTTTCTGAATTGCGGATTGACTTATCGAGTGCTCTCAATCTTAAGGATAAAATAAATAATACTTATGTAATCTAAAGAAGGAGTTAATCGATATTATATTGTTTATCTTCCTCTTCTTCTGAACTCATATAAAAATTAAATAAAGATTTTTGTTTATTTAAGGGTTATTGCATGAGTTCATTAATTTTTATTTTAAAAAATGTATATATATATTATCTTAACACATATAGTATGTAGGAGAAGGGAACCATCAACATCACACAAGCATACGAACCAGCTGATATCTTCAAAGAGAGCTCGAGAAAATGCATTAAATCAATCAAATAAGAATTTTTAGGATATAGAATTTATATAAAATTGAAGAATTTGAAAATTAAATACGATTACTTGTGCAAAAGAAAGAATAGAGTGAAGAATAATCGAATCACCAATAGATTATATTAATTTTATGAGTCCATTTGAAACTTTTATGAACGAACGTCGAACAAAGTTTAAAGAGTACAGAGTGGTTGATGGTAGATTCATAAAAGGGTGGGATATCCTTGAATGAAATGGAGGTGGAATTGGAGATAAAGGAATTATTCTATGTAAAAAAAATGATTAAATTAAAAACGTATTATAAATATGCTTGTTTATAGTATTATGAAAAACGGGTAATATGTGTAAATCGCTTGAGAATGGTTGAGTTGTTGATTAATAATAAAAAAAATGGCTAGATCATTAACAATATTGGCTATTGTGTTTGCAGTTGCCACAGCTAGAGTGACAAAGAGCGAAAGTCCAAAAGAGATTTTGGCTTAAGTTAATAAGGATTCCTTTGGAAATTCAATCCTTTCAGTTCTCCAACTTTAATTGGCCACAGGAGGACCCGTTGGTGAGATCTAAATCCTTTTGAACAACATTGCCTCATAATTGAATGGAGATTAAAAGAAAGCTGACAAAGTTCATGAAAGTGACACAGTTGCATTTGAGAAAATCATTGCCGACTTAGAATAAGAAATTGCTTATCACTAATCCTAAATTGTTGCCTTGTCCAACTTGAGAGATTCCACCACCGAAGCTTTGGGTGAAGCTGAATCAGAAGTCAGAGTCGTAACATCAGATATTGCCAATAACGAAAAGAGCTTCGCTGACGAATCAGCCACCAGACAATCCCAACACGAAACATGGGTCAGAAAGGATGCTGAACATGTTGATTAAATGGACGCCATCGATGAAGCATCAAAGATCGTTCAACATTTATAAGCTGGTGTTGCATTCGCTCAATTAAAGAGTAGATTCGAAAAAGTCTAAGCTAAATTGATGGAAAGCAAACACGCACTTTTCAAGGTATTTTCTATTTACTATTAATAACTAGCCACTCATCAATGCCTTGACATAATTAGCCTCCAAGGTTGATAACAAGAGCATCATCAAGATCTTAGAACTCTTAGCTTAAATCAGATAATAATTGGTTGCCAGCAGAGCCTCACTCCTTGCCACCGAAGAAAGATAAGCTGCTAACTGGGAAGTCCAAAGTTCTCATTTATAAGAAGAACACAAGAGATTAGTCGAAAGAAAGGCCTTCTTAGAAAACTCTATTGTTCAATTCAAAGTGACCATCCAAGAGGCTGTTGAAGATTTGGAAGACTAAACTGTATTCACTCTCCATTATGTTAGTTATTCCTTGAAGATGCTGAAGACTCATTGTCTATTCAAGAAAGATGGGCTGCTGAATAAGAATCATAATATGAAGCATAAACCTTCGAAAGAGAATAATAATTGGAAGTCGTTGAGAGATTATAAGAAGTCTTAACCTAAAAATTAAGTGCTGCTTCCGAATTCCTCCAAGTCAGAGAAGAAGTATTTTGATTTATCAATAATAATAATAATAATAATCAAGATAAGAAATCTTCATTATCTGCTTCATCCACTTGATCCTTATCTTCATTCCTAATAAACTTAATGAAATGACTGGAACGATGAACTTCATGATAGAAATCTTTCGGATTCGATAAAATCAATCCATATTTCATTTATTAGACTAATCCTAATCCAATAAAGTTGTAATTCCACATGTGATTATCAGGGACCTAAATTATATTAGATAATAATAAATACCATGAAAAATCCTCTGAATTTGTCTGACAATAAGATCTAAACTTTTTCAAAATGTTAAGTCGATGATGGATGAACTGCATTCAAATCCTTATTGTTTTTACCCCACTCAAATCCTTAATGAGTTCTTGGAATATAAGAATAATAATGTACAATTTGTAAGCTGTGATTGAACATGAACCAGGAGTGAATGAAACAGTTTGAACAATACATCTTTCTGCATCCCAACTTTAGTTCTCCTATATCAGTCTAGCATGTAATGTTATATCATAAGTTGATAAATGCATAGTTTCTAGAATTTATCTTAAAGATTACCTGTAGATTAAGTATGTAACCATCCCAAGGGCTCTAAATTTCTCAGATATTCTGAATCTGGCATTTGATGAGGCATTGTGACATTATCTCTTGATCCAATTTGAGGAATCATAACAATAGCTCTAATTTCTTTGACTTATTAGTTATCTGGAGGTGAGATACCATATAGATAGGCAGCTATTTATGTTTTCAAATCAGCAATTGAGATGAATTTCTTAAGAATATTCTTAGGTAAGACATAAGTGAATCCTGTTTACTTGATATCATCGGAATTTACAAATATATGATTGGTACGTAAGTATAGAGATGTTGCAGCTATAGCCCTGACTCTCCAATCAGAATGACTGGTGAAGGATTGATTCTCATAAGGTTTAGTAACTTGGACTGCTAATTCTTCTCCAAAGACATTAGATGTCTTGACTGTTGTTGCAGTTTATTAGGCTGCCTCCTTGGCTTATTTCTCAATATCTTAGATGGTTTCTTTTTATAAATTTGGAGCAGACATCTCCATACCCAAAATGATGTCTCTGATTTCCATTTGAGTTAATGATTACACATTTACATTATTCTTTTTAGCATAATCTTATAAGATTAAATTCTTAAGCTCAACTTCCATTTTGACCCATTCATCATCTGTTAAGGTAGGCCATATGTGATTTGGTTGAGTGATGACATTCTTATTGGGTTTCAATATAATTCTTGCTTTTTCATGAGCTACATGTAATGCTCTCAAAATTAAGATTAATCTTGAGAATGCTGTGAAGGATGAAACACTCTTCAACCAATCATCATATAAATTAAAAAGAACCATTGATGGCTCAGTAGCTTTTAAGATTAAATCTCCAAACTTTTCTATTTTTAAAATAGCTTAAAATGGCAACGAAAGTTCAGATCCTTTAATAACAATATTTGGGAAATCTAATAGATGCACTTCCAAAGGATCCAATAATCCCTTTCTTGTAACAATGATTTATCTGGGTTATTCTTCAACTGGTAGAGCTCTAATTAGAGCAGCCACTTCTTCAGCTGTTTTCCATTTAGCCAATTATCCAAGTCTCTTTTAACCTGCCCATACAGAAGTATGAATGACCTTTAAAAACAATTATCCTGTTTTAGGATTGAAAATAATAATAGCACCATTAATAGGTTTTGTGGTAAGATTACCTTCAAATGTTTTATGAATTGTAACTCTGTATACGTTTGTGTCATCAACAAACCAGATGATTTAATTACTGAATAATTCAGCGTAGTTTTGAGTATTGAGATATGGTTCAGTTGGTTCAGATGAATACAACTACAAACCCTTACGAATACGTTCTCTTAATACGTACAATGCAGGATTAGCCTTCATAATTTTATTCATAGCTTGAAGGATTAAATTCTTAGAATTGGGGAACCAATTACCATATCCTGAATGTAAGTTATAAGCTAAATCTATAGCCACTAACATTCCTGTGGGAGATGGATATATACTGATGTTATCAGTAGTGTAATCTAAGAATTTGGCTCTGGCATATCTTTCAATATCATGAGAATCATAATCTCCCCATCTTAATTGAACATCTAACCAATATTTGGATGTAGTAGTTCCATCATACGTATCTTTGGTGTCATGAATCAAAGAGGGTTTGCTGATTGGCCATTTGAATGCAGCAAATAATAATATATCTGCACAAGATGAATTCATTTTATATGACTTTCTTGGATGAATAGTTTCCTTTTAAACTGTTTCTATTTCCAAAGTTTCCATCTCCATATCGAACACTTAACATAAATCCATCACAACACTTTCATGAATCTTTTACCATAAATGTGCTCTGAATATTTGAATTAAAGAGATCTTTAATGTGGGAATCTTTCCATGCATGAATATACCTGTCAAATCCAATTAGACTTAAAATCCAATATACACGTTTGCTCTATTTACAGTAGGAGACCACCATAGAGTGAATCTTCTATTTGGAATCTAATTCAAACCTGAACGTTAAGCATGAGTCAATTTCTTAAATCTCATACTCTCCTCAAATCCACTAGCCTTCTCCCAAAACAATCCTTCCCAAGTTGGAAAATAGGTTCCCTTGAATAAAGTGTGTTCCAAAATACCTTCTACTCCTCCTAAGGCTTAGATCATATCAGTTCTATAATTATTAAGATTCCACAATTTTCCATCATGTCTTTAATGAGTCCACCAGAATGGATTCTATTTCAACATCTAAAACTGTTTGAAGTCCTATCTGACTCTCCAACCCTTATCATATGCCAATGTCAATCTGTCCTTCTAGAACAATGTATTGATTCTGGGAATACCATGATCCCAACTATCTTCCAAATCATCCAAAGTCAATCTCCTGTTTTATACTTATGCTTCTTATCGCTTTAAGGCATATTCAGCCCAAACTCTTTGACTGTCTATAAATTCACTTTCCCAAGTTTAGATATATCTATATAGATTAGGAATCAATTAATCCTCATCATGGCTCATACCTGCTCTGTAATGAGTAATGCCTGTATCAGTTTATTTTGAAAATCTCAAATCTGATTATGGAATCAAAATATGTCCCATTGATAACATACCCAAACCACCCAATTCTTTAGGTGTGTAAAACACAACAGGTGGGAAACGAGAGGGCATCTTAGAATTCAATCCTATCTTAATTCTAGTTTATATCTTATTTTCGCATTTGACTAACAGATCTAATAATTATTCTGTATGAACAGCTGATTCTCTATAATATGTCATTAATCCAATCAAAGTTGTATTCCATTTATTTGCTATCTTTGTAAATGTTGTACTACCACTGGCCATCAATATTTATCTAATTCTGTTTTCATATTTCTTCATGCTCTCTTCATCCACTCTTAAAAATGCAACAGCAGTTATTTCCTTACTTGATTCATTTTGTAATTTCCAAACACCATCCTTTTCTGAGAATTCTTCTTGAGTTCCTCTTATCTTAGGTAAGATTCTCACCTCAAATCCACACATATTAAATAAGAAATTGGGATTGTCCTT